TGACTTGCCACATCTCTATTTATTTGCCCATGTGTGCATGCGTGTACATACCATCTATAAGCCAACCTAATGCAGGTTATGATATATGACCCTGGAAGACATGATATGGTCCCATTACTGTGTGCTGGAGAGAGCTGCAGGTGACAGGGGCCGGATGGCTTTTGGTAGCCCTGAAGTGGAGGGCTTGTTCTCCATTGGCTTTCATACGGAATGCTTGCACTTTTAATTTGAAAAAAAAAATCCCATGCATGTCTCCTCAAAGGTAAGCACTATGTATTCTTATTCCTAGGTAAGAAGGGAAAGGAGAACAAAACTCTGTTTGCCCCTTTCAATTCTGGCCTGAAGAGTTCATAACTCATGCTCCACAGGAATGTGGAACTTTCTGTAAGATTAGAAACATGCAGAATTCAGTTTATTTTGCTAGCGCCTTGGTAGGTTTGTATATTCCTACTGGGTTTCTGTGTAAAATTATTTTGACTAATGAGTGATACGTTTCTAGGCTCTTTGTTCTACTTCTTGTGTATTGTGGTATTTTGTCTAAAAAAGAAAGAAAAATCCAAATGTGTGAGTGAAAAAGATGGCAAAAGATGGGCTGTGAAAATGGAAGACACAAATAAGTTGTTAGTGCACACTGTGATAATCCAAATCTATGTATTGCTTGCTCATTCATTCATTCATTCATTCATTCATTCATTCATTCATTCATTCAAGTCATTTGTATACCACCCATTTTAATGACATGCACTGTTGTGGGCAGTTATCAATCATGTAAAAGAACCCTCCCACCCAAACCACTGAAGCCAAATAAACTACAGCCCTACCTCAAACCGAACAAACCTAAAATACAACATAGAACGATTTCGCGCTCAGGAGGGGCGCAGTTTCGCGCCTTCGAGCTGAGCGATGTTGCTTTGCTTCCCTGGCCCCGGAAGAGGCTGACAACGGGGCCACGTGACAGGGGACTAGCTGAGGCTATATATTGGGACGTCGGATCTGGGAG